GCACAATTTATAAGTCCATAAATATAGAGCGAATGCTGCCCAAGAGAAAATACACAGGAACTGTTACCCTGTGTCTGTTTCGCTAAAAAATCCTTTATCTTTAGTTCAAAGTAGAAATTCAAGTACCAAAGTGTGTATATTTTGGAAATGTTGTATGGCCATTGATCTTTCGCATGTGGAGAATGCCTAACTGTACAGCAGGTATTTATTGAGGTGGCTGTAGCCACCTGGCTGGATGGTGACATTCTGGCAACATGTGCGCTTTCCAGTAAATTCATGGTGTTGAAAGAAAATTGTCGTTTTGTGAGGACAGTGCTCGGCTCTTCCAAATATCATTGTACAGCATCTATAGCTTGCCTTTTAAGATACAGGGAGTTTCATAAATCATGAAAATAAGTGTACTTTTGGCAAAACTACAGACACATTTCTGATCTTGTTTGAAATGCTTTGTGTATACTGATATTTTTATTTATTCGAGATCGTTTCAGATTTTCAAATTAATAAAAATACTTCAGCAAAGCTATGAAGTGTATAAGTTTAAAAAGAAAAAAAAAGGAAGCAGAATAACCTTTAGCCATATATCCAGCCTATACAGATAGAACAGATGCGAAGATGCTGTAAAAGAAACAGATCTACCAATTACATTGCTCTGGGAACCTTACGTTCCAGCTATTATGTAGAGATGCTGCAGAGACTCACTAATAACACTACATAAATTTTATCTTACATTTAGCTGCCAGGATGCACATCTTCAGTCCAACATGAGAGAAGTTTTGCATTTCACTGGCATAGAAGGAGTTGTGTTGCAATTGTCTTTAATTACCTTGCCATCATTTTTAGTATCATGAGGTGGAATCAAAGTTCATGGCCACACACATGTAGGACGAGACGTGAATCAGGTCATACCTCCTCTGCACATGTGAGTGCCATACTCCTTCAAGGAAAAATTAGATTAAATCATTCTTAGTGTCATCAAGCATTAGAAATGAATTAAAATATAATACATGGATCACAAGGAAAGAGAGTCGTGTACAAAACTGTTAAGTGTAGAGATCAAGGAAAGTCTTTACATTATTGTTCTGTTAAAAGGAAAATTTATTTAGTGCATCGGGATTTACTTTTGGTCTCAAACTGTCACTGAAGTTTGATCCATTTTGATCTTGGAATAGTCTGAGTATCTCAGAGACTGAGATCCAAGTTTACATAGTTGTTTTATAATTGATGAAATCTGCACCACAAACTTGACATTATGATATTTATTCTCTAATGTTGTTATGTTGTAGGTATAATCCAGCTGGGGCTGTCTTATATTGTCTGAAAGAGCTTTATACCACAAGTGGCAAGCAGAAGCCTGTTAAATTAAAAAATCCAAACAAAGGCTGTTTTCTGCAGGACTAAACAGGCCTAGTTTTATTCAAGCTTTTCCCATGGCATTAGTCTTCACCCTTACTGGGGAGACGGTGCTTACTTTTCTAAGTTTGCACTGTAATGTGGTGTTGTCACATGACAGTTTATGTCAAAGGAGGAACCATGTTGGTCAAGTTTAGCTAATCTAGTGCAACCTACCATTTCAGATGGGATTATATATCTTTTGACTGTTTGCGTAACCCTAGACATGAGTCATGTTTTAAGATACAGTTTTTAAATATCTGAAATTCAGAGGCTTTTGTAGACTCAGTTACATAAGACTCATTCTCTGAGTCAGTTCTAGAGGAATTGAAAAAATGCCACCACATTCCTGAGGGGAAGGTGCTGATCTTTTGAATGTGTCCAATACGGCATGTTATTCTGGGAGAAAGACTAAGTAATGATCTTCACCACATTCAAAATTAAAGAGAGAGACACGGGTGTTTCTCTGTTTGCTTGTTCTAACTCTATGCATTTTCCAACATTACTGACTTTACTGGTGGTGAGATACAGAGGGTGCTGACCTCAGCTTCAACACCTCTGGGATGCTGAAATGCCGTGGGGGCAGGTACTTTGTAAATAAGCCGGCTGATTTGTATCAGAGCTATTGCTGCCTTTAAGGACTGTCCTGCTATCACAGGGTTGTATCATACTCCAGTATTGCCTTGTGCCTGCCTAGGAATGCCTTCTGCATGGAGAGAGACTCCTTGGCAGACTTCCTAAATCTGCACTAAGTCAGTGAAAGAAGTGCTAGTGGGATTTAGGATGAGGATTGGTCTATGGCGCTGCAGGGGACCAAGGTACAAAGACATTAGTTCAAGTCTAGCTGATGTGTTACAATTTAGAGCTGAGATAAATGTGGGTGATTTAGAATGTTCAGGGCTTATGATCTCTGTTTTTGCCAAGTTGAAAGGTAATACTGTAAAAAGAAACACCTCTTCCAATCCAAGGAACATTCATGTGGCAGAAACAGAGGTCTTCCATTATTCTTTCTCGTGAGTAGTGGCATTTTTTATAGTGTGTTTTTATAAGACATTCTTCATATCACTGGAGGGGAGTGTGCAGTTGCAGATATGTTAGAATTAATAATTCAGTCACATCTCACATACAGTAATGAATATTTTGCATGAGTGCCAGTTAATTTGATATAGCTGAGAAATGAAAACATAGCTGACACCTGAAAGCTGCTGAGATGGTCAGAAATGTTTCAGATACATATGAGACTCTTTATTTTTCCTTTTGGGTAGAGGAATATAATGTTTTAACTGGTGAATAAGAGACTATAAAGATCAATAATTCATATATTACTAGCATGTATACAAAACAGCAGATTATTTTATTTTTACCTTAAGTATCTGATAGAACTTGCTGCTTTTGTTTGATTGGAAAAATGTTAACCTCGAGTTTCTGGAATGGATAGGGAACAGGAGTCTGTTATTGTAATGATGTATCTTATACGATACTTGAAATTCTCAGGGAACTGTTTAAGTTGACAATTGCAGACAAATTATGCAATACTGCAGATCAAATCTAACTAAATAGGGAATGAATGGGCTGAATATTATTACCTGAAAATTACTACTAAAATAGCAACTCAGCTGGTGTGTGCACGGGCAACAAAGTAGTCGTAGTTGTCTTTTAGTCAGAGATGTATAAGTCCTAAAGATTCTAGTAAAAATAGACACTAAACATACTTTCAGGATGTTCCATGAAGTCTCAGCTTTCTCTTGAGAACAAAATGCTACATGATTACCATTTGGATTAAAAGTCATGAAGAAAGTCTGAGAATTTTGAAATGCAGACCAGTGACTGCCAGCATCCTATCTCCTTTGTCTGGATTCTGGACTAATGATTGCTCTATGTTTCTTGTAAATTTTTAATCCAGTTTAAGATACTGGGAGAGAGCACCTTTTTTCAAGCTTTCTGAAAATGAGTTCTGTTGAAAAACACCAAACTCCTTCACCTATGAAATGCATATATATATATATATATATACACACACACACACATATATATATAAAAAAAGGACTTTTCCTTCTACTGATATTTAGAAAGAATGTTTCTGCCCGTTTGCTTTAGGAGATTTCATTTACTGCCACGACCTAGAATTTTTCTGTTTATGGAGTCCTCTTTTACCTAGGACTAAAAAAAGTCAGTGAAACTTCAGCTATGTATGCAAGAGTACTTCTGTTGGCAAATTTTACAGATACACAGATGTACACCTTAAGTAGGAGAGTTGAATAGTTTTATGACTTCAAAATAATTAACTATTTGCATCTCTGTATTAATGTGGCATTCTTATTAATGTTGCATGTTAACTTGGCTGGAGTTGGCTAAAATGTATGAGAAAGATATGAACCTGTTAGAGCAGGTCCAGAGGAGGGCCACGAAAATGGCCAAAGGGCTGGAACATCTCTCTTATGAAGACCGGCTGAGAGATTTGGGGTTGTTCAGCCTGGAGAAGAGAAGGCTCTGGGGAGACCATACTGTGGCCTTTCAATACTTAAAGTGGGCTTATAAGAAAAACAGGGAGAAACTTTTTACTGAGGCCTGTCGTGACAGGACAAGAGGTAACAGTTTTAAACTGAGAGGGTGCATTTAGATTGGATGTAAGGAAGAAATTCTGTAAGGATGGTGAGACACTGGAACAGTTTGCCCAGAGAACGTGTGGATGCCCCATCCCTGGAAGTGTTCAAGGTCAGATTGGATGGGGATTTGAGCAACCTGATCTAGTGAAAGATGTCCCTGCCTGTGGCGGGGGGAGAGTGGACTAAGTGATCTTTGAAGGTCCCTTCCAACCCAAACCATTCTATGATTCTATGAAAATACTAACTGTAAAGATAGCTGAAATACATGTTTTTAATTAATGCTGCTTGTTTGGGTTTTCTCTGAAGCAGGTTGTAAACACCATAATTAATTGGATTTAAAAATGAAATGCTTCAGTTGAGAATCATTGTGGTATGTATGGCATGTCCAGGTGGCTGCCTAAGGCAGGTGATAGTTTAAATGTTGTGGGCTGGGAGACATCTGCATAAGCAAAACCACAGATCAGTCAGATCTGGCTGAAAGCGTGAGTAGTCCTTTCAGCTGTAACTTTCTGTCATTAATACTTCACAAAATTAGTACAACATTTGGAGACGAGAAGTGGCACTACAGATGTGTTATATTAGCTTTCAGTCACAGTCCAGTGAGACTAATGTATATAGCCTGGTCCTTGGAGATACAAAACTATGAAATCTGACCAAATTCAGTGCAGCCGACAGCCTCATCCCTGTACAGCTACCTTGTAGTCTGTCACAGGGACATGGACATTGGAGATCCAGACTGACACAAATTAGCACTTCTTGTCAGGATATGTATGTACCCCGTGCTTGTATGACTCTAGCAGCAGTAGTATTACTTAATTGAGCCTGACACTTTTACAAAGAGAGGCAGAATCCAATTTTTTTAGGACAGTAACTTATTGACGCCAAGTTCAAAAACTTTTATTTTTGTCTGAGACAGTGAGCTTTGAGAAAAATATGTCATTTAAAATTATATAACTCCCTTCCCTTTTGTAATCACTCTTGGATATTTTTGTTGTTTTTTTCCAGACTGGAACAAACGGATTGAATACAAGCCTGGTTCTGGCAGCATACCTTTGTTTCCCAGCATTCATCTAGAAACATGTGATGGACCAGTTTCCTCAATACATACCACCATTGAATTGCAGACCAATTACATTGGAAAGGGCTGTGATCGTGAAACGTACTCAGAAAAATCTCTGCAGAAATTATGTGGTATGGATATGGCTTTCAGTTGATATAATAATAATATTTTTCCAGATAAAGCACCAGTTCCTTATGACCTGTAAGCATGCAATACGTGGATTTAGCTCAGCTGATTCGTTTTGGATTGTAGCAATGAAAATGAAGGGAGCGGTGATATTTGACTGGTTCTACATTTTTCTTTTCCATTTGTTTTCACTCTTTTTCATACCTTCTCCCTGCTTTACTTTGATTTTTTTCTCCCTTGCTCCTCTTCCCTTCTCTATTTTCTCTCTTTCCTCATTCCACCTCTTTCTCACTCTTTCTTCCCTTTGCTACTAATACTGGTGTGACAGTGTAGTGAGATTTCAGGTATAGATTTACCATCATAGGAAGACCATAGGATTTGATGAGAATTGAATCTCCATCTTGTGTTTCAGTCTTCCTGACTCAGCTATCTGTTCTGCTGCTAAGTACTGTGCCAGAATAAAAATAAACAAAAAGTAAAGGAACATTTGGGGCAATCATTTGAGCAAAAACATTTAAGAAACATGAATTTCAGAAAAGAGGTATCCTGGTGGAGAAAGGTTTCCTAATTATTTTCCTCCCTTTTCCTGCTTTTTGATAACTTAGTTTAAAAGATACAGATTATTTTTGAAAGGTAGATTAAATGCTTGAGGACACTGCTGTATTTTTGTGACTTAAAGATTATGTGTATGGCAAAGCAATGGCCACACATTAAACCATTTATCTTTTGCCTTTTGAGATCTGCTGTCTCTCCTCCTCCTCTAAAATCCTATCCTCTTAGAGTCCTCATCTGAAGCCCTGATGGTGTGGAACATTGATTCTCATCTTCCCCAAAATGTCTTTTTACCTGGCTCCTGTCAGAACTACAGTAGCAAATGTACATTTTTTTCCATTTAAATACATGGATTTTGGTTTGTGGTGCTCTGCTGTATGGCTACATTTGCTTTGATAATCACACAACAGTGTTGCAGATATGTTAAGATCTATACACTAACCTTTAAGAAATAATTTTGTAAATGAAAATTTTCAGCCAGTGTTACCTCCTAGAAAAGCAGGAGAAAGCCCGTCTGCCAACAGTATGCATTTTCATCATGTTAATGACATTAAAACTGAGAGGTTGAGCAAGGCTATGTGACCTATGGGAACTTGATTTCACAAAATACTATCATTTTAATAAAAATAAGTGTTGTAGCTAAAGTCAAGTACTTTTGCCTCGTGTAAGAACCTGTATTGGCAGCAAAAAGAACATTGCTTTATTCCTGTTACAGACCTGAACTGCAAGTGGCACAATTATTCAGAGCAGATCACTATGTACAAGATCTAAACTACCAAATGATTACATTGACATAAAACACTAACAGCAACTATATCGGACGATATTATCATTTTAAATGTAGGACCGAAAGTAGGTACTTTCTGCTGGTGTAAAATTCCTTAGTTGAGGAAGGTCGTGCAAAGTATAAGGGGTTCAGTTCGCAGAATGTGGCTTGACTACCTCACCCGCTGACACTTAAGCAATAGAAAAGAGAATTGCAAGTTTTCCTCTTTTTCTCCGGAATAAACTAGATGTTTCCCGAAACTAGTCCAATCTTAATTCATTGTCTGAGCTATGTGTAGGCCCCAGCTTGTCATCCAACAATAATAAAAAATAAAGAATGTATAAAAGACACAATTTGGGCTGCAAAAACATATCCAGAATAAATCTCACTAGAAAAAGGAATCAGTCAAGGGGCCTAGAATATGGTGGAAAGACAACTATGGTGCTGTTGTCTTTCCCTCTAAATGTAGATAAAATAGAAAATGATGGGATTGCTAATTCTCACATATGGCAGTCTGGAAGCTGAAATATGGAAACACTGAGTAGCAGATTCAAGGCCATGCTCAAGCTAAGCGGGTAGATCCTGCCCTCTCTCCTTTATCCTGGGTTGTAGCTTTGCAGGAGGCTCAGAGAAAGTTGTTGATCTGATTGAAAAGTAATAATTTGGGCTTGGTTTTATTTGGATGGTTAGCTTCCATCTAAGCCAACAGTCTGGTCCATTTGAGCAAGCAGCACCAGTACGTGCTTAACCTGGCACAAAGTTTGCAGCATGAACGTGAAGGGTGGGGAGAGGAGGTGCAGCCAACTCCTTAAGTTGCTTGTGAAAACAAGAACTTCAATAAGCAAGGAGTACCTCAGGGGCCTCAGTCCAAAACTGTGCTTAATGCAGTGGCTTCTGCATTATTCTGGAAGCATTTTAGAAGAAAAGGGCATCAGCCCCTACATTTTGGAAGGGCACTGATCCAGTAGCATGATAACACTCTTCTGGGAACACCTCCAGGTACATCCTGTTTGTATTGCTCCAGGTCTGTGTACGGACATGGCTGAGCAGCTTGGCACGCTGGTTGCATTTATTAGGATAGAAACAGTATGATTTCTTCCAGCTAAATCTCCCAAGCACATAATCCAATAGTTGTTGTCAGGGCAGGATTAGCACATGCTAACAGGATGAGGCTCCGAAGTAACCCATAAATCTCCATAAAAAGACGGGCAGATAAAGTAGAACCTGTTGAGCTTCGTACTGATTACCCAAATGCTCTTACACAAGCCTGACCTTAAGTTGGGAAAATAAGGTAGTTTAATTAAGCACCTCGCTGAATCAGAGTTTAACAAGCAATATGAGGGACTTCAATTTTGCACTTTTCCCACAGATTCATTCTAGTGGAAAAAATAGATCTTTCCAAATTTTTATGGCCAGAGTTAGACAGAAAAGTAAGGGATGAAACTTCTTTGAGCCCATAATTTACCTAATATAAGCATGTGCCCGTTTGATATACACCATGGTGCAAGCAATTTCTGTTCCTTCTGTAAGTTTAAAAAATGACCATAAAAATTAACACAAAAGGAAATTGATTGAGAAAATTATGGTTTTAATTGTGTTCTGTGCAAGTAATTTTATTTTTTAGTGGCTTGAATTAAAAAAAAAAATAGAAAATTTATCACAAATTGTGCCATCTGGAGAAATTGAGTTTGATGTATTCCTGTTGATAACATCTGTGTATTAAGCAATGCATTGTGGTGTATTATCCAGAATTAGAATTTGTAAAATACACTTTGTCTCTGTGCTCAAATTCTGAACATGTAGGTGTTAGATTTGATATTACTATCACTTGAAATAACCTCATTTTATGGTAATAAATTTTGGAGAGTTGTCTAAGAAATTCAGTTACTGAATGATATGAATGTTTTCATATCATTACTATAATACTTCTTAAAAAATCCATAGGATACAATTCTACACATTCTTGGCTTAAAATTCTACACTCCTGCAGAGAGTTGGGATCTTTTTTCTCTCCTTGGATGCTGAAGGAGGGTGGGATATCTGACTAGTTTAGGATTTTTTATTCAGTTGTGGTTTGTTCACCATATTCTGACTTGACAAAGCATCAACAAGAATACAAAGATTGTTTGTGCTTTTTACTCTAGCAAGCATGCTTTCTGCTCAGTGCTATCTTTCACCAGCTAAGTAAAGGCTCTGGGGAGCTCTTCACATCTTTTTAAAAGTGTCTGACAATTGTTAAGCTGTAAGAAAACACAGAGCTACTGTAAAGAGTTGTGCTATTTTATCAGATCTTGGCACCACAGTGTTCTCCATTTCTGTTTTTTTCCCATGAATTCTAACAAACAAATACTGTGTAGCTGGGGACCATTTTGCTAATTATTTACTTGTGGGTTGTGTGTGGTGTGGGGGCTAATCTGAATTGTGAGTACCACTAAAGTCTTAGACCGATCATTAGACAAGAACACATGGAATTACAGCCATCACTTATCTGCCAGAAGCCGCATTAAAGTGATATTATCTGTTTTAGGGTGAATACTCTGTATGTATTGACATTCATACCAACATTATTGTGAATATCCATGGCTATCTACTGGACATTGTCCTACATTTATCCTCACTGTACTATATTTTGCAACACATTATCCCCACATACCATGTATCTCCATGCTGTCAGGGAGGGTAGATGTAAAGCTTCCCAGCTGGATGTAGAGAATTTGGGTTTAGTCTTAGCAGTTTTAGTTGTAGCACTTCTTGAAATAACTGAAGAAATGCCATCAATGAATTTTAGAAAATAATGAGAAGTTTCAAGAAAGATAACTTTAAAATGTTTTCTGTAGTTTTCTGTGCAATACGTTTAATCTAGAGAACTCTTATATAATGTGTATATGGGATTTAACAGTGAAACTAGGAGGACTATTTGGGTAGTAAAAATAATCTAAAGAGTGTGAATCAGACTTCTGGCCTATATTAAATTAATCTTCACAGCTTTTTCATTAGTCTTTCATCATGTTATTCATTATATATCATTTGCAGGAGCTTCCTCAGGTGCCATTGACCTGTTACCGTCTCCCAGTGCAACAACTAACTGGACAGCTGGGCTTCTCATGGATAACAATGACATGATTTTTAAATTTGATGGAAAGCAAGGAGCCAAAATCCCAGATGGAATAGTCCCGAAGAATTTAACTGATCAATTCACCATCACTCTGTGGATGAAACATGGACCTAGTCCAGGATTAAGAGCTGAGAAAGAGACTATTCTCTGCAACTCTGACAAGACAGGTGAGTCTGTGTATTGAAAAAATGTTTGGCAAAGGGCATAACAATGTTAGTAGGGTGTTACCATCTCTCCTCAGTTAATTTGGTCTGGAAAAAAGTTACTAAGCTGGGATGGTACCACTCTAAGCATTGCTGACTTGATAGCTTATTGAGGGGACTGGTGTCTACCTAAGGTTCAAGCACTGGTTCTATTCTTGGATAATCTCTGTGAACATATCTGTAGGAATTGATAGGAATTGGTCGATAAAATAATTAAATTAGGTTTAATTTTTTTATTATTTAGATTGGGAAAAACAGTTCTAATTCTTCATTGAAACTAGTTAGATTAAATATTGATTTGGATTTTATTTATTAGTTTGGACATAACACTTCCATAAACAAAAATAATACAGCATAATTCGGGAAGATGCTTACCATATGTGGCTTCCCAGAGAACCATAATGATCCATGATATTGAGAAAGTCAATTCTTTTGGGGTTTTCTATTTGGTTGGTTTTTGTCTTTTAGGTGTAATATTGCTTTTAAACACTTTCACCTAAACAAAAGTGTTGGTGACAGTTCAGATCACTGATCTTATTGGTCCCTCCTTTCAGAGATGAACCGACATCACTATGCCCTGTACGTGCACAACTGCCGATTAGTATTTCTGTTGCGCAAAGACTTTGATCAGGCTGACACCTTTCGTCCTGCAGAGTTCCACTGGAAACTGGATCAGGTACCTGTGGTTTTCTCTTACTAGTAAACCATCCTTCGCTTCATGCCCTTTAGAAATCGTATAGAACAACCCAAATCCTAGCATAACTGCTTTGGGAAATCGGAAGTCCATTGCAATTATGCCGCAACTTGTAACTGTTATGACTCTAATTGGGACCCACATAAAAAGGGATAGATGACTTAAATTGATTGAGTCATTTAATACAGTAGGTTTTTTAATTGAGTCATTTTAAACAGTAAGTAGAGGTTTATGTCCTTTGGCAATGGATAGAGAAATGACATTGCATATAGTTCCCTCAAAGTTTTCCATTTATCATTAAAAAAAACCTACTTTATCAGCACAATGGAAGTGATGGAAACCTTTTCAATAAAGAGTATGCTGACACACAGAAAGGCATTTGTAATATATTGTAAATCTAATCTGTAGACTTTTACTTTCATCTGCTGTGCTGTATGTAATTTCTCCTTATTATGAAGAGTATATCTCAAGGAAATTATTATTAAAGAGGTACGAGTTGCCTTTCATGGATTTATGAATTCTAAGCAGATAAGGATCATTTGGATGAAAGAAGACAGACTTCAGCAAAGTAGTATTTTCTGAAAGCAAGTTTCTTCATGTCTTTGAGTCGAAACTATGATATTGAAGATCTAGATATAGGAATGGTTACTTTCCTAATTCACCTTCAAAATGCATATATAAAGATGATCTTTGTTGTGATTATCAGATGAATGTGGTAAGAAACCATGTGATGATCATAGCACTTGATTTTCATTTCCGTTAACCAGTTTGGAATCAGTTTCTGCTGTACTTGATATGAAATCTTACAGTGTCTAGAAAGGAGTAGATTTACATTAAATCGTATTGAAGATTACATCATGACTAACTGATGTCACCTCAGATAATGCTGTTCTGAGTGCTGGAGATGGATTTGTATTTCTAAACTGTATACTAAGCACCTAAATTAATGATAATACAAAGTTTATGTAAAGTATTTTGACTTTGAAAGTTGAATGCAATCAACTTCTCTTCTGTATCCTTACAATGAGGAAGCACCAATGTCCTCTCAATAAATGAAATTTGTGTGTAACTCTTTAACTTAGCCATGACAAAATACTGGAAAAAATGTACTGTCAAAGATAATTTTCCATTGGCGGGGGATGTATTGGATTGTGTGAAAGAACTTTTTCATCTCTATTGCCATCTACAATTACTTTATTCTTACTCTACTTTCTCCATATCATTTCCATACTTTTAAAAAAATAGACAGGAAAAATGGCATAAACTGGAAAGTACAGGAATGCTAACATCTTTCCGATTATTTTTTTCTTTCTTACATCACAAAAAAGATAGTGTATCCTGAACTATTGGTTTTTTATATCAAACAATTTTTTGTGTGTGATTACCCTTGCACTGGAATTTGATTAGCATCCGTGTTATTGATGAGCATCATATACTCTATATTTCTATTTTAACAGTATTATTTCCTTAGAAAGTGCTGCTCATCTCAGAAATCTGCTGCTGGATGGTTTGTTGGTGTGGGACATCTGTATGAATTTGAGGGTGCATTGTTTCAAAAAACATGCTAGAAGTGTGTGTACCTAACTAGTTAAATACAAGTGCTATTTTTTATCTAACAAGGGATAAAGAATACCTTGGGCAAGTCTACAGATTTTGTCTGAAATTAATAAACCTAGGGGAGTTGCACCATCAGACAACTTCTCACGTTTTCAGCTGACATTTAAGTAGAATCCCACATACCTGGTGACAGGAACTCATTGTTTGTGATGTAAATCCTAGAGGAACACAAAGATTTCAACTAGGGATGACTGAATAAGTCCTTGGAGATATTTCGAGATTCAATCGATTGTACTCTGAGTTATGTTTCTGGAGAGAAATTATTTTGTTGAAGCCATTTCAGCAAGAGCATATACTAAAGGCAGTCCAAAGTAGCGCTTGACACATTAACTCTTTTCATTTCTACTGTTTGGTTCTAAACTGTGTATTTCATTATCTGCCAATAATCATTTGTGTAATCTAAATTATGCTCCCAAATTGTAGCACTCCAGAAAAGTTGAGCTGCAGTTGGGCACTGAAGGGAGCACCTTCCTAACTACTATTAAAAACTCCTACATGATGGAAACTAGAGATAGAAAAGATTTTTTAGGTCACATCATTCATTTCCTTTCATTCAGCTACTGTCAACTGATTTCCACGGTATATTTTCAACTGCTCTTTCTAGCTGAAAAGGAATGTAAGATTGAAGTATAAATAAAGTTTATTATGGGTTGTGTGACCAGACTTCCATGATGATTAATTTATATTGTCATGGTGATACTGTTGTAAGTTTTGTCATGAAGGGACCTGGTAAAGATTGCTTCTTCACCTCTTCTTCAATGTTCCATCTGGCCTATATGGTAGAGTAAATTAAAAGAAACTGAAAATAAAACAAATGTGAATGATGGGCTGGTAAGGAACTTGCATGGTTTTGAAGACAAGGCAGTCAGAAATTTTCACTTCAAAGTAGTAAAATTATGCCAGCTTCTAACTATTTACCTAGAATGGTCTACCTTAGAAAGCACAGGATATTTTAAAACCACATCAGAAAGCAAGTTAGCTTTCTGGATCCTCTGGATCTCAATATGAAAAGAAGCTAGGGCTAGATCTTCAAAAGTAGATTAAGTGCTCTAGATGCTTCTGAAAGTCTACCAGGTCATTTTTTGCATATTTTGATACTGAAATACCTCTGGAAATCTTGCCTTCAGAACTGTTCATTCTGTAGTGGCATATCCTCAGATTCCTTGGTTTTTTAAGAAAAACATGGGAATTAAGCTGTATCTGACCGTTGTACAATTTCTCACTTTCTGCACTGTACTGTGATATGGGATGCTGTAGACAGCATTGCATGTGTGACTCTGGAAGACAGTTCAAGGGTTGGTACCAAGCACACCGTAGTAGAATAAAATGTGGCAGAGTACTTCATTGCTGAGCTTGCTTTATGATTGTGACAACAATCCACAGCTTGTTTTTGCTGAGAGGAATCCAGTGACCTTGGAATAGGGTGAAGCATAAACTAGTGAAATCATTTATCATTCTGACTGCAGAGTAGTAAAATTTATTATACCAGGTGCTTTGGGCTCTACCTAGTCCACAAGACTACTCATTCTTTCAAGGCACTGACTAAGAATGTGCGCTTATTGTCATTCCAAATTTGATTTAATTCTTTAAATCTCATTTCTGTGGTGGGTGGGTGTGGCACACATCTTAGTTGCAGACTCCATTCTTGGCTGAATACAAGGAGTCACGTAACATTTTATATAGCTACACCTGAGCAGTGCATCTGAAGCCTTGCGATACAATGCAGCCATCATAACTGTCATGCATAGCAAGTGTCTGAAACCTCTACATAGCAGTGGCTGCCAAGTTAGCTCTGGGAAGATTGTGTCTTTAAGTTAGTTCATAGACCTAAGGATTTCTTTTCAGTATGGTTTTCAGTATATTTATCCCTATTTGTTACATGAAAATTAATGGACTTTGCTAGGTTAATTTTTCGCTAATTGTGCTGAGGATGCATAACCTGAGAGTGCAATAATCCCGGGCATATGTACCTTTAGTATTGAACTGCTAACACATGAGATGAGTATGTCTGCAAAAAGTGCTAATAATAAGAGGTAACAGATTTAAACTGGAGGTATCCTTGTTACTTATGAGAAACACAGAAAAAAAAGAAATTGATATAGTTTGGGTTTTTCCCCAATTTCATTCTTTTGGAAATTAACCATCTTAGTTGTGAGAGAATCCATTAGTAGAAATCTGGAAGAAAAGATATGGAAAGAACCATGTTAAAGAAAATCAGTGTCAAGTCTCTAATGCATGCTGGGTAATAAAAACTGCATGGTTTTTCCGAACAACTGCAATAGCTGCCCTATTAGACATAGTTACTTCCTTTTACTTATTCCCATTTCCTTGGAAGTGCAGGTGTTTCCTATGTTTCAGAATCATGACTTTTCTTCTGAATTTTCCATGCAAAGGTTTAAATTGAGTATGATGATGTGTTTGTCAAATTTTTTATCATTTATATTCTCATACTTAATGACAGTCTTTAAACCTGAGCACCTATTACAAAAAGTTTTGTCACCAAAGTTAGTAAAAGGCACTTAAATCATCATCTAATTGTCTCAAATGGGTAGGAACATAAATGTGGTTTTAAGTGAATGATTTAGGCAGCCAAATATAAATTTGGGCCATCTAAAAATAACATACGAAATACAAAAACTGTTTCTTTGTTTTCCTTAGAAAGCTGTGATGATTTATGTTAGGGTTCCCTTCTATTTGGATGCTCATATGCTTACATGCTCGTCTTATGGACGTGTGACTAATTTTAAGAAAATGATCAGATTGTACAGCCTCCTCCTGCACACAGGGAATAACTGCATATGGGATGGGTGTGGTAGGGGTCTGAGCTTTCTGAGCTCCATACAGCACAAAAGTACCCTTGGAGACTTGGGAGTTGGGGAACTTCTTAACTTACATCTCTGATCACGTTTCCCTTTAGCCGCTGGTGCAATGTCCAGCCTTGTCAAATTCTTTGATGCAAGTATACCAGGACTGCAAAAGAGATCAGATTATGATGAGATTATGTATATTAAAAATGGAGTTCTGTTGAGATCAGTGGGAAAATGGTCATTGATTTTAACAAGGGCAGAATTTCACCCTAGAGATGTTAAAAAAAAAAAAGTCTTCTCAATTCTTTTTCTTTCAATGCAAAGATATTTCCAAAAGCACCTCAGAGAGCTCTGTTAGCAACTCTGTTGTAAAGGTTCAAACTAGTGCCCCTTCCTTTCATGGTCATTGCAGAAAAAACCTCTTTTGATCCTTGAATTTCTGCTATAAGAAGTAACAATTTCTGTGTGTTCCCCAGTGGTTTCTGGTTAATATAGTAAGAACTCTCTCCCTCAATTTTTGTCCACTTTAACTGTTGTTTTCTATAGCCCACACAGAAC